CTATGAATGATCTAGGCAAGACCAGAATGGGTCATAATCATGTCGTGCTGGGAGCCATTTTTTGTGGCTATGAGGCTGATCTTGCTAATTTACTGATTTACAGTTCAGTTGGATCTTTTTTTTTTCTTGGTTATTCTGGTAGTTTCATGAATGATTTGTCATCATTTCGGTTTTTGCTTGCTGCTGTTGCTGTGCTTGTTTATATTCCAAAGAGGCAAGGATCGTCAGTAAGTTAAGGTTGTAATTCTTTTGCGTGAAATTAATAATTAATATAGGAAAAATTTCAGTCAGAACACTTGCCCGCATTTAATAAAAAAGAACCTCAAATTTTTTAAAACTTTATTGAAGGACTCGTACAAAATTTCTATTGAATTTGTGATGGAAATGATAAAATTATCTTCATTTCAATAAATAACATAAACTATTTATTTGTTTTCATACTCTATGTTGATCATTTACTTACGGAATGTTATTCGTTTCCCTCCCTCACTTGTTTATAAGCTTACTTTCATTTGATTTCATTCTAAAGGCTATAAACAAGTGAAGCAAAGAAACGAACAACATTTACTAAGTAAATGAATAACATACAATATAAAAACGAACAAGTCGTCTTATCATGAACCCAACACAAAATGAAATCAAGTGAAACTAGACTTATAAACAAGTAAAGTAAGGAAACAAATAACATTCCGTAAGTACATAAATAACATACAGTGAGAAAACGAACGAGTTATTTATGTTGTTTATTTAAATGAGAGCAATTTTATCAGTTCCATCACAAATTCAAAAGCAATTCCATATGAGTCCTTCAGTGAACTTTTAAAAATTTTTGAGTCCTTTTTTTGATTAAGTTTAGTCAAGGATCCTGACTGAAATTTTTCCATTAATATATATATAATCTTTTACGAGGTCATGTATTGTGTCCCAGTCTACTCTCTGAGAGATAATTTTTGTCAGTTTCTCTTTTTTGAGTGTATTATTATTATTATTGATAATTTCGATATGAACTTTCTATGTGAAAAACGTGGAATAGCTTTTCTTCAGTGGCAAGCCAGTTGCATGCTAACATTTTTTCAATGTTCAAAGGGAATCTCTATTGTCAGATATCCAATGAGAAAATACTCATTTGGTTCTATATATTCAAGTTATTTTAAACTAATTCACTGAAATTAAAGGGAGATGATTAAATTATTAATATTATATAAAAATATTAATTTATTTTTAAAAAATGCATCATTTTTAACAAACTTTTTCTTATGAAACCTCTTATCCTACTTATAAAATATTATGTAAAAATAAAATTACAGGAAAACAATTTACAATCTATCTTCATATGTAAAGTGACTTCTAAAATACTATCAATTTTTTTTAAAAAAATATGACTAATATACAAGACTAGAAGGGGTATCTCAATTACACCTGAAGAGTAATTAATCATCTTAATTATTTCAATCATTTTTTATCAAAAAAAAAATTAAATGCAAGTTCTTGCCTACTGCTCTTTCACTTTTCAATTGGAAAAACGTCATTTAAGGACCCCTGAGAAGATTTAATATAAAAATCAAAATCAAAATATTCAGAAATATCATTGCTAGATCAAGGATTGAAATGCAATTAAAAAACTTTTTAGATGAGTAAGGGGTTATAGGATCAAACCCTCCTTCAACCACTTTGAAAAATTAATTTAATCTACTTGTGAGAAGTAGTTTTGTCTTTTCAACATAAATTTTAATTGCATTTTAGTCTCCTAGTTCTACAATAATATTTCAAAATTTTCTGTCATTGTTTGATATTAAATCTTCTCAATGATCTTTGAATGATATTTTTCTTAGTTTTTTTTTTATGAATAAGCACATTTTTTTAAACCTTAGTTGGAATAAAAAAAATTAAAAGAAAAATGACATATTTATTCTTTTTATAGAACTATTAAATTAGGTCAATTTTAATTCGAATATTGTCAAGTTCGGTGATAATTCAAAAACATTTTATATTTGAACTCAAACTCAAAATCCTATATCTAAGTGAACATAGTTTTTAATTATGAATTCGTTATTTAACTATTTAATTCTTTTTAATTTTTATTATTATCATTTAACTTTAAGCATGAGATTAAAACCATTCTAATATTTAATATAGTCAAAAAAATTATAGAAAAACAATAATTTATGTATCCAAAATCTATATATATATCAATATCTATATTTGTATAAAAGTAATCATAAGTAACTATATTCCCACCTAACATGTATGTGTTTTCTTGAATATAATACTGCAATTTTAGGTTATACATGCCAGCACTAAATTTTAATTTTTTTTGCCATGTTTGGCGGGCTTGGATAGTTGCAGGTGAACACGAGTTAGGAGTTTAAACTACATAAATGCACAATCCTCTCCACAACTCCACAGGCTAGTGTCATGCTTGTCAGTTAACTCTCTTTTGTGAATAAAGCATAGATAATGAACACAAAACAAGCTAAGTTACGCAACTCGTGACTCTGCAACCTGAGCTAAGCTTTTAATTATTCTATCTAAATTACAATATGAGTCATTGTTAATTAATTTATGTTTTTTAAAAAAAATTAGTTAAAATCTTGATTTTCTAAAAAATTCCACACATTTCCAATTTGAATATAATAAATATAACATTTGAGTTATTCAAAAGACTCTAATTAATTATTCAATAAAATAAGAGTGTAATTGAAAAAAAAATTATACCAATACTTACCCAATATCATATGTTTTGGATCAAGTAAAATTTTTAGATTCCACATTTTCCAAGTGAAAGGAGCTTTGAGTGTATAAATATTAAAGAGTAAAATTGAATTGGTAGATGGGCTAAGAAAAGGAGAAGTCTCACATATATTATATATTCAATTGAATTGCCGAGACCCTTGTGACGTAGTGGCACTTGCATCCCTCCTTTAATAAGGAAGTTGTGTGCTCAATCCTATGGGCAGGAAATTCTGGTGAGTGTGTGTTCCTACCCTTTGGGTAGGAGTGTGAATATGGATGAGCGTGTGAATATTATGGGTAACTGACCGCAACCCAAAAAATATTGAAATTTGATTTGATTTGATGATTTGCCCCTTCATGTGCCGAACGTTCACCTAGGTTCGAGCGTATATCAGCGTTTGCACACCAGCCAGAGTTTTCAGGCTCTCTTTTCTGCTTTGCCACACTGCTTCATCTGTGTTGCTCTATGCCTGCATTATTATATTCATTTATGCTATTGTGTGTCCATGTTCGCGGCATAGGAAGGGCCCGTTTAAGTCTATTGAGTTAATATTCTTAACTAGTGAAGTTGAATGGTTCTTAACAACAATGTTATGAATTGAATTCTGCATTTTTGCTGTCAACATTCTTAAGAGATGATATGGAATCACATCAACTTGCTATTGATCCCAAGCTTGTTATTCTTGTTACTGGTTTTGGTACGGGCTTTGTTGGTGGAGGTGGTGCATGGAATTAATAATTCGACCCAAGCCTAAATTAACTTGAAAACATTTTTGACGATACTTGAAAACATTGTATACTTTTTCATGTTTCTGAAAAAATTTGGGCCAAGCCCAATAACCTAAATATTTGAGTAGAAGCCTAATTTTTCAAAAAATATATCAAATATTAATTAACTTTTTTATTTTTAGTATTTTTTATATTGAGAAGCCATATATTTGAGTACATTATGATATATATTTTTTAAAAAAATAAAAATATTAGTATTGTTATATTTTTATTATTGTTAATATATAAAACAACTTAAAATAATATTTAAAATATATTTTAATATTGATTTTTAAATTTCAAGACCCAGAAATTTTTTGAAAAAAATTGAGCCTTTTACATTTTTTAAATATTCTAAAAAGTATATTTTATATTTTTCATAATATAAAATGGAATTTTTTTATAAAAAATTTGGGGCGAAATGACAACTCAAGCATTTGAACCAACCCTAATAAATCTCAAGTCTGAGGGTTTTTGCACTAGGCTTGGCTATATGAGATTTTGCATTAGTTTAAGCTTATTCAAACGTACAAAGAAGCTAATTTGAATTGAGCCAACTTGAATAAATGCACAAATCATCAGTTCTAGTAGTACTTAAATCCCAATTGTTATGCCATTTCCAGATATCTTAAAAATCAAGATGTTTTCAAAAGTAAAGATGTTCAAGGGGATAAATTTCAGACGACGGTAGGATTGTATTTTTACTATCATCGACATGCTTGAAGTGGTCGCTTCCAGTGTTCAAATACTATAAATAATTACTTCTTCTGTTTAAAAATATAAAATATTTTTTAAAAAGTTGAATATTAAAAAATATAAAACATTTTTAATCATTCGATATATAATTATTGCCTTTTTTTTAAAGTATCGATATTGATAATAACTTAATATTTATTATAGGATGATTAATAGGGATAAATATAAAAAAAATATGATTACTTTAAAAGTAAATAATTACTTTATTGAGAAATAAAATTCAATTAAAATATCTTATATTTTTAAATAAAAGGAATAAATTGAATTAATGGATGGGCTAAAGGAAGGAGTCTCCCGCACATAACATTTTAACATATGCAAATTCAGTTGAAATGCAATAATTCGCTGAGCATTTTTTACCAGAATTATTTTTGCAAAATTATAAAATTAATTTGTATACATGTCTAGTGGAAAACCCTTATTTTTGCCTATTTCAAATTTGAGTCCTCCTAATTTCTAAAATAGCAAGATTTTATCTTCTTTCAGCCAAACGTAATTTTCGATTGAACCTTAGAACATATTATTAGTTATTCCTTGTTAATTATTCACTCATTGCAAATTACAATCAAGTCCTGATAAACTTGGCAGTATTTTTCCAAATTCATGAGTCACTTGTAAATAAATCCCCTTATATGGGACCTATATATAATTTCCCAATATACTTTAAGAAAACTAGAATTTTGGCTTTCAAAATTGATTTTTCTCCTTCTTTTTGTGGCATCCTGACAGGCACTGAAACAATCTACAATCAATCGGTCACGTTTTCAGAACTTAGCCCCATAAAAGACTATCATCGAAGCCGAAACATAATACAAACTCGTACTATGTACCCCATTCTATATTCTTTCTCCAAGAATACAATCAAGAAATTCTAATTTAAATTTATACAACTACATGGCAGCAGCCAAATTTAACATTATTTTCTCAGACGATGCATCACGCTTCATCGGGTTATGTATTGAATCTCTGCATGTTCTTTTACCCATTCAAGCACTTTAGCTCCTTCTAGTATCTCTTGCACCTGCCAAAAAAAAAAATACATATATATATATATATATATAACAGAAAACAGAGAAAAACCTCCAAAACTCATACAAAGTCCATCAAATAAAACGTGTTGTTTGCATACAATGGTATAGAAAATGCTTATCCAAACACAATCCACTTTGAAGATGGTCAGAAAATATTCATATATGTGCGCACATATACTTGAAAAGTTATGTAATGTTTGGTAGGTTAAAAAAAATGCTTTCTAGGGGGGAAAAAAACAAAAACAAAGAAAGAAAGAAAGAAATGCACCTATTCCATTCTTTCCAGGTACACTTTCCATTTCCTTTCCCTAAAACACTTTTTCATGTATCAAACATTTACTAACTACCATCAGATCGACATTAATATTCAAAATTAGAACTCATCTTTCAAAGAAATGGAAGAACTTGAATTTGAAAACAAACTATAGATGTGTAACAAAGAACTTTTTAATTTTATCAACAACAAATTGAACCAAGAATGATTAGTGACCGTTCAGTTCTCAACATATACACGAACATCCAATAAAGATGGTAATTGTTAACAATCGTGTCAAAAATAATGCACAAACCTGATCCTTCACCCGTTCTTCATCATATTCTTGCTTTTGACGCTTAAATTCAGCTATGGAATTTTCAACCTCATTGACAAGATCCTCAGTAGCAAACTAAAAATGATAAATATGCAAAAATTAATAAGCCAAAACATCATCCAGCCGCACTATACAGTTGGTCAGATTCATCAGAATTTAGTTGCTATAGCAAATGTCAGATTTCGTTGCTATAAGCAAATGTCAGATTTTTGTGTTTTTTCCAACTCAGGACAGAAATGCTACAACTTACATTTTCACAACCTAGACCATTATAGAATCAGGAACCAGGAAATTCAATTCATAATTTAATGAATAAATGAAATTATGTTTAAGAATGCAGAATTACAAGGGTCTTCTCATGATGCAAATTTTTCCTTCTTCAAATTCTAGGTCTGATTTTGAATTAGTCTCTTGATTGAAAATTGGCGAAGCAATCAAGAAAATCCCATGAAGTCATTTTCTCCACGACTCCACCTTAATTCTTGAATTAGATCTAATTTTATTTATAGAATTTATGGACTTTTGGTGTGATTGACTGAAAGTAGGGCTGTTTGGGAATTAAGGTTTGAGGGTGACTTTGCTTGAGAAGGAGGCAAACCCTAACTTTGACTCGTGTTAATCTTTGGATAATAGATATAATATTGGAAAAGAAGTTGGTAAATAACACGTTCGTCATTCGAATTTAGAAAGTTGAAATACGGATTGAGAAGTTGAATCATCTAAGTGGGAGAGAATTAAGCACTAGAACCAAAAGGTACGCCATAGCAAATTTGGAATTCATTAAAATAACTACAAATTTTGAAGCAGTGATATTGATTTATGAATTGCATGTACTTAAGTTAGTATGTCTTCATTCTACATTGTGATTTTCCTTGAGGTGCATTATGCCTATGAAATTTAATATTTAACAAGATAACATGGTTCTGCTGCAACATAAGCAAGGCCACTCTTAAGTTATACAAACATATCCATCTAAAGTGAAGTGCATGATCTAATGACCCATTCTAGAAGATATGAAGGCACTAAAGGGATTATAGATCTTAGACCTCGTTGGACATTACAGCTCATTTGGGGGGTCAAAAAAATTATAGTAGGATTGCTGATCCTTTGACAAACATGGCCAACAAGCATTTGCAAAATCCTCAAGTTCAGTGCTGCCCTCTTTGATTTCTCCCAACCATTTACCAGAGGTTGATGCATCAGGATTTGGGATGGTTGATGCAACAAGGGTGCTCCATTGTCGACCAAAGCAAGTCTTATCTCCCAACTCACAACTTGTTTGGTATATGCGACATAAATATGGCTATAGTTTTAGCTATCAAGAAATTAAATCATTACTTCATCGGACACCATTATTAGAACTAATCCAAAGGTCCTCAATTTTTTGTTGAAATAAAGGTTTATTGACCCAGACCAAAATACAGCAGCTGATGCTTTATCTAGAAAGGGGATCCCATGGAATAAAATCCTTTTCTTTGCGGCAGCTAGGCATTTGGGAAGAGTGGTAATCTGGTAATCTGGGTTGCACCAAGACCAAAAATAGCCTCTGATGGAACCCTCTCTTCTAATAAGCTTTTAACAAGCATAAACCAGAAACTACAATACAAATGGGGACTGAAAATTACTATTACTGAATAGCAAAGTTGGATTACAGCAAAATAAGGAACTGAAAATTATAGCATACTGAAACAGAAACAGCACAAAATACACTCCACGAAACAACAATCACAAAATATAAGTCACTCACTCACAAACATACACTAAACAGAAGATAAAATGATGAAGAAAGATCATTTCCTCCACCCCTAACCTGGCATTCGAGAGGCCAGAGCTCTCCTCACCACTCTCAATATTCAAAATACTCTCCCCTCTCTCTAGGCCAAGAGGAAGATTTAAAGACCCAAAAAGTGACTCTAACACAACCCCTAACACATCACTAGGGCTCTAATACATCACTAGACCATCAATTACTTTTCCTTATAAACAGCATCCGGAGGGCAAACATCTGCACCAACAACAATGTTATCTTCTAAGCTCATTTCCTTCATTGATTTCCCCTTACAGGTCTTAGTAAAATCATGAGCTCTATCAGCCTCCTTCATACAACAGCTAGTTTCTAGACAAAAGTGTCATGTGAGTAGACATTCCAAGGTTGTTGCTTATCTTGTCAAGGATGTCTAGTGACAAGGTAAATGTTTTTATGAAAGAGACATGGTATCCCCTCTGCAGTTGGTTTATAGCATTAGGTAACATAATACACAAGAATAATCCTCATACATAACAAATATGAGAAACCTTTTGTATTACTTTACAATAAAAATATACAACAAATTACTTGTGTTTCATGACTGCAACATATACACTAGCTATTGAGATTTGCCTCCTTTATATTTTCCAGCTTCCCATTTTCCCAAAGAAAAGTGCACAATTTACCCACTTGTCAATAGTTTCAGTACTACTTGTCAATATTTTGAGGCATGAGTTATGTATGAAGAGTAGTGTTTGTTAATATAGCATGTGTAATCCTTAGTGATTGGGCGCGTCATGATAAGAATGAAAGTGATAAAGAACAGCAGAGACTAAATAGGACTAACTGAATGTACGTGTGAATGATAAGCATTGTCTGAAAGTTGCAAGATTCAGTTGACAGGATCAAGGTTCAGACAATTAGATCTTAAGTTTCAATTAAGTGAGAATAGTAACCAGACTCAGTTAATCGGATCTGGAGCCAATTGACTGAAACATGATAGTTAGTATTTATTTAACAAACACTAGCATCAGTTACCTAAGACTTGCATGTTCAGAAACATTTAAGGCAGCAAAAACAAGACACAGTTAGCTGGAACTAAGGGTAGCAATGATGAAATATTCAAATAGAATTCAATTAACTTCATCATGATTCTGGTAACTACAAACTATATGTTAGAATGTGTTTAAAAAAGTATGAGGCAATGTTATCCTAATCAGTAAAACCAACTACATGCCATTTAGGATTGACAACATGAACAAGTGTTCATCGTTGGTTAGTTATCACATGTAGTGAATACAAACCTGCAAATTCTCACGACGATATATGTCTCCAACTGCCAGATTCTGTTTTATCAACTTTGTTATATTATCTCTTTGGTGTTCGAGATATTCATTCACGGCCTTTGGACTTGACAGAGAAGCCAACTGCTGTTCAGTTAGTTTTACTTTTGCCTGCATCATAATTATTTTAATTCAAAGTTAATACACGGTGATGAGGAAAAAAGAGAGATTCCTTGTACTGAAAGCATATGAATTTTAACAGTGACGGAAATCAAACTTATTGACATGTCACAAGCTGTACCTGAATTTCTAATAGGTTGGCTCCATAAAGTTGTCTACCTTGTTCCTCAAACAAGGATTGAGGGATATCAACCTCCACCATCTGAAAAATGACACATAATATGGATCTCTGGCAAATGAAATGCTTAAATGAAAATTATGTGCCATGAACATCTGATACATTTCAAAAGTGACGCAGAGCATATGACAAAGAGTAGTTGGCATAAGAACTTGCACCAAGTTCAGAACACATTTATTCCTTTGTTTGAAAATGAGAGCTAGGCTTGTTTCGAACTGAAAGTTTGGATGACCGACTCTAGTCCAAAAGTAGTAACAAATAACCATATGAAAGGTCCAAATGTCTATTTTGGTCTGATTCAAAATTCAGCTTATTTAAAATTGTCTAGAATAGTCATAAATCATAATATTTTGATTATAGACTACCAGAATAGTGTAAAATTGACATTTGCATTTAAATCCTAGTAGAATAGCTCTACATACTTAAACAAGCTTGCTCAGCACAAAATTACCCCATTTCTCATATTGTTTCCTATGCTTGGATGGAAGTTTCAAGGTTATCCTTTATAAACTTCTCTTATGTCTTGTTGAACAAACTTAAATTTTGGTATCTCAAAAAATGTGGATTGCTTTGTTGATTTATCTCATTAGTGGACGCCATTGATTGTGAACTGAACCCTAGCATTTTTATACCTTGATATGGTTGAAAGAAGAGAGAGAGAGAGAGAGAGAGAGAGACAGAGGAGCGAAAGAGAAGAAAAGAGGAAGAAAGAGGAGAAAACAGGGGGGGGAGGAAGAGATAAGAGAAGAGGGAGAAGGGGAAACAAAGAATAGGGAGAACTGAACTATGTTTCTGTATTTTCAATTTTGCATGACATCTGACTACACTTAGGATTCCTCATATAGGCTCCTTCATTCCTTCATTCTAACAAAATCTAACCAACCAACCCCCATCAAACTAAACTATTTATTCTTTCTCTACGTATCATACCTCTTTTGTAGATTCTTTTGAGTGGTGCGTGCAGATTATCATTCTGATGGAACCCTGAGAAAATACTCATTTATATGAAAGGTCTGCACCAATATTCCTCAGTGAACAGAGGATGGATGCAGCACCAATGTATAAGAGAATGCAAACAGACAAGGAACATAACTCTCTAGTATTTGAGAGTCTAGGAGCTCTTCTAGCTCAATCCAAATTCTTCCTATACCCAACAAATACTCCTCCCAGCCTTAACAATATTCCTTCAACACAAGTTTCATCCCCCATACAATGCCAAGGTGGTTTTGTATGTAGTTCAACCTCCTCAATATTCTCTGTCCTACAGGTTCCTTCAGCACTTATCCCTTATTCCCCTGAACTTTTATGTGTTAAAGGACCAAAGCCCATTCCTAATAATTCCGGGACCCATCATTACCTCCCCTAGGAAGAGTCACGTTGTCCCCAAGGGGAAAATCTGGGAATTGTTTCTGTCTTGCATCATAGTCTTCCAATGTACTCTCAAAATTTAACAAATCCATCCATCTAACAATAATTTCCACTTCCTATCTGTTTTTTTCCTCTCCTTGAACAGTGCCTCTAGATACACAGCTAGCTCCATGTCCTAAGTCCCAGTTGAAGCAAGAAATTGTAGTGATGGAATTGGGGAATGCAATGAGTGACTCTAATTAAGAAACAAGGAACAGCAGATACATACTGGCATAATGTGATAGCTCAACATCTCCATGCTTCTCTAGGAATTTATAGGACCCAAGAACCTTGGGCTCAACATTTCATAGCCTTTCTTTGGATAAGGATTTTAGTTTGTAGAGCCCTAACAAAAGAAAACTTAATCTCCCATCTCAAAGGATATATCCTTCAGCTTTTTATCAATAAATGCCTTCATATATTCTCATGCCCTGTTCAAGTTCATTTTCAGTTCAATTAGAATCTGATGGAACTCAGCATTATTTCCGATTAACTAGGGGAAAGTCAATACAGGCCTCTTCAAAGTAAGGAAGTGAAAAGGAAAATTATAGCAAAACACTACCTTCCCTAATTACAGCAGCAAGAGCGAGAAAAAATTAACACTAACCTAAGAAAGGAAACAATTTCCCTGATTTCAGAGAGTTCAGGACCCTTGCCATAGTCACTGGTTGCCTGTGACATACTACCCTAGATAACCCCAGTCAGCTCAGTACAGGGCTGTGAGCCTGCTTTCTTCAGCATGCTGTCTTCTTGTTTCTCACTAGAACTCTGGGGCTTGTTTCTTCTATAAACTCAACCCACTAAGTGATTGGGGTCATCAAAATCAAATTCCTCTCTTTTATAGTCTGATTCACATCTTCCACAGCTCAATAAACATAAGCTTGAATACAGTAGGCAGGTCACAGCCATACAAGGCCTTGAATAGTGTCATCTCTTGGAAGGCAGTCTGGCCCTAGGTAACCTGGTCCATTGGTTAGTCTGCCTCATACAAAGCACCATAAACAGGTTCCCAAATTTCTATTAACCACCTCTGTTTTCCCATCAGTTTCTAAGTGATACCAAGAAATATAGCCAAGTGAAGCTACTGCAACCTTGAACAACCCCCCCAAAAAAAAAATGGCTTGCAATGACATTGTCTGAAGATTTTGGAGCGGTGAATTTTTGTTCATTTAAAGCCGATTGACATTGCATCATTTCTCAGTTTTCCAAAATTCAAATTTCAGAGCTTTCAGTGACATTCCTACAGTCAGAGTCTCATCTTTTTCTTAGTTTTTAAATCACTTTGATCAGAGTTTTCCATACCAACTTTGATTACTTTTAGATTCACACCAATTCAAGCAACAAAAGAGTCATTTCATGTTCCATCCCCATGTCTCTGTCTTGACCATCATACATGATATGCATGACTTTTGAGACACATCAAGACTTATGAATTAACTGCGGAATCAGGAAGAGGTGGGTCCAAGCCATCTCTTTTCATACCCTATCACCAGATTAAAGAGAATACCCAGTGCACCAAAATAATGGCCAAAAGCCTACCAGAAAAATAAGTAAAATTTCGCAAAGCAGTTACATCAAATTTTAGTCTTCAGGAACACAATATAAGAAGCACACAAACTGAACCAAATGTACTGTAGCAAAAAAGTTCTGACACCAAAAAGGGAATAAATTCAATCTAAAACATCCAGTTAACTGTTATCAATGTAATGAGACCTTAGAAAGCTGATCTAGGATAGCATTGTCAGTTGCTTGATCTTGAGCCGTCTGCTCCACCTCTAGAAATCGCTGCAACAATATTTCTTTGACCTGTAAATTCACATGGGCATTTAAATCATGGTCAAATAAATATTATACTTCAGTCAAATGGTACTAGTACTTTAGGAGGAAAATTATACTTGCTCCACTGTTGTGCAACCAGGAAGAAGCTTATCAGCAATAGAATCATTTAACTCAGGCAAATCTCTGTAAAAAAGTTCTCTGCAAGTAACCTGTGAAAATCAAAGAAAACAAGTTCAGTGACATATTCTGTTTAAATTTAACAGGTACGATGATTTAAGGGGTGAGGGCGAATAATTAGTAAGAATTTGCATACTGTGCTCAACATATGATTGAAAAAAAATTATGACAGTACACAATATAAAATATTAGCAAGCATTGGTAGTTGAATTCAGACATTGTCAGTTATAATCACCTAGAGTGACTACCCAATTATCCCTATAATGATTTAAATAGAGGTAAGTCAGAATGGAAAGAAAATTGGCTGCTTAGCAGAGGTTTTCAGTTTTTCATTGTCCTGCAAACCCAAGAAACATGCTAACATATAAATGAAAAGAAAGAAAGAATAGTATGCCAGCTTATGTCCCTAGCATAATGATATAGAAATCTGACACATGAATTAGTTATAACAGGACAAACTCACAGTAAATTGTGCATGAATGCCACGGAGATTTTCTTGCCTCCATGATTCAGGAAATACTAGGGGAAATGACTTTGTTTCACCTGGACAAATCCCCACAATCGAATCAACGAAACCAGGTAGTACTTTGTCACCATCATCCGTGTCAAAATGAAACCCTGCATACAAAATATAAGGTTCAAATTGAAAATGTTCACGATATAATACAAATGAAGAACTACCATCGTTGATCAACCTATCATCTTTTATGCACACAGCAGACCTTTACTTTCAGCAGAAGGAATATTTTTAATTTTTGATTCATCTTGATCAATTGTTGTTGCTGAGATATCAAGGACAGTAACATCACCAATCTGTAAACAGGAAAAAGGACCGTGTTTTAGCCACTAATATAAAGATTTAGTTCAATCACAATTATATTAAATGCATAGAGTAATATGACTATAAGAAAATTACAATAATTTCCATATATCACAAAAGCTCTTTCATTAAGTTAGCAGGTAAATAAAAATAAAAAAATACAAGATTGAATGAAGTCTTAACTCTTGCTGCATAATGCTTGAAAAACTTGTGAATTCAATAAAATACTACTTTTAGATTTAATTAAATAGAAATTCAAAGTCATCAGTAATCATCTTAAAAACAAAAACCAACTGGCTGTAATTGGTGTAACTTGAAAGTACCTGTAGCCCTCTGTCAGTAACAATTTTCATTGGACCAGTGGAATTGTGACGTCTTCTTAATTCTTGTTCAGATGCTATGTGAGGATCTATATCACTGTCTATTTCAACAACTATCTTCAAATTTTTATATGCATTCTCAGTAATCCACTTGATTTCAGGTACAACATCAACTATGACATCATATCTGGAAAAGTCAAAACAGTGAAGGCAGATAATAAAGTAGACTGTACAAGCCATTAGATGAAAATGTGAATATTCTTGTAAGGAATGCATTTTAGTATTTGCAATTGCTATGGAATATGGTTAGAGATTGTAAAAATTATCATAGAACATGCACTTCCAAGAGCACAACCTAGATTGGCTACCTTAGAGACCCGAGAGAAGAATACGTCTCCTCCAATTCAGAAAATTTAGTTACTATACGTATTGAGTCCTGCAAAGCCTTTCCAGTAACCTATAAAATAAAACAAAATGTTTGATGTTTGATACTTCAACATATAAATAAAACCATTTGTTTGGACTGATAATCAAATTTTTCACTAATTGCTATGTGCAACAGATTGGGTCCATATCAAAAGAGAAGTCATCGTGATCTTCAACTAGGTTTGAATATTAGCAATTCTGTACATTAAAGTCATTTCATTGCCAAGGGGATTTCATGTCCTTTCAACAGGAAATGCACAATTAAAGACATTTGCAATTTAGAAAAAGTAGCTGACAAGTTTGATTCAAGGACTGAATGAAATTAAATTAGAATAACATGGTCAACATAACTGTTACATAAAAGATTCTCAGTCTGTTATGTAATTATAATAAACAACAAAATAATTAGGATTTAAATAGATTTAAATATGATTTATGATTTAAATAGGACTTAGATAGGATTTGATATTTAATTATATTATTATATCAATAAGATTAGGATATATACTCATATGAAAATAATGCCTATAAATAAGAGGCAGTAAAGTACCAAATTTCAGACTTTGATTTCTAATGAGAATTGCATATTTAGATTTTCTCTCTCTATCTCTCTGTTTCGTTTCTCTCTCTTTTCCCCTCTCTCTGTCTCTTTCCAATCTAAATTCTATAACACAGTCAGACATGACATGTAGAAGATTTCAAGCCAGAATCAAGAAACATCCACCAGAGTGACTGCAATAAAGGTGAAGCACCCAAAATGTCTAAAAGGATAGCACCAAGAGAGCAACTAAGGACATCCGATAGTACAGATCAGAATATTGCATCATACCTTCAACATGGCATGTGAAAGTGTCCTCCTCAAAATAGATTCAACTGTAGCCTTTTGAACATTTTTCTTGCCAACATAATTTACAAGGATACTCTCTGGGACCTTTCCAGGGCGAAAGCCAGGAACCTGTGAATATGAATTACGCAATAATGTTAGTTCGTCAAAGCAACACATCTTGTAGAAGTAAAAGTGTCACGTGTAAGGGCTGTATTTTGTAATTGAAGGTGTAATGATAGTCTGTTGTTTGGTAGTCAGTCAACAATAAAAGTCACAGTTAACCACTTCCATTAGTAACCAAAGTGAAATACTCAGGGGAAGGAGGTATAAATACGCCCCTTGTACTATCATGTGATTCATCTAGTGTATTCATAGAAACATATCTCTTTTCCTTCGTAATAAAAAGGCTCGCGTTCAAAATTATCTGAGCAAACTATTTGTAATAGATAAGAAAATCATTTTTTAGGGAACATACTTTAAGACCGTGATATTGAATAAGGTCAAACTCAATCCAAACACTATTACAGAAAGCTTCTGTTAGGACCCTAGCAATGGCTTCTAGAACAGTATACAAAATGATCATATAGAGAACAGAAATCGCCTAAGAACATCAAAAGAAGAACTAACATATATCACTTCCAATTACAAGTACAACTTCCTAATTCATATAAACTTACAACGAGACAAAAACTACAGAGACACTCTAGATACTGATACTGAACTACAACAAACACAGATGATACAAATAATGCTGAGAGCAAAGATATGAACAATACAGAACACTAGCAAAGATGGAGAGCAAGAGGATTACTACACAGACAAAGACACACAAAATACAACAAATACCCTTCAAAACGTAATACAGAAAATGTTTGCTCTCGAGAGGTCGTCTCTCTCCACTCAAAACCACACTCAAAGTTCTCCTCTGGCCTCCTACCCTTCATCATTGCTCCCTTATTTTGCATTTGCTCCTTGACTTTTCTATCTTTTGTATATTAACTTCTGTGTTTTCTTCTGGACCAACAGTCTCCCATTTTCTGCCACTTTACCACCCTTCTATGGCTCCTTGTGTGTTTTTTGGTGGCAGTAGTGATTGGGATCTATCAGGATCCAGCATTCACCAGAGAGAGTATAAAATTCTTCTCTATCAGAAATTAACGTACGGAATTGTGCAGGATATGGGTGGGCAGAATCTTTTGATTTTATAAAAGAAAAGTTGCACAATTGTTTTCATGCCATGCCTAAGAAAGAAAGAAAGATGACTCTAGCCATTGGTTTGTCAGTATTTTAGTTACCATTGTTAACTTGGATTAAAAAACTGGATAAATCAATCCTCTCAAGTCCCAACAGACAACATAATTGAAGGTACAGACTCAGACAAAAATTTGTAGGACGCATTTTATTTTGCCCAAAAAGAAACCAATCAGAAAAAATAAATAAATAATGCATAAGTAATTGTAATCCAACAGTACCTTTGCCTGTTTAGTAAACTCAGCTACAACCATTTTGTAACAATCCTCACATACCAAAGGTGGAACTTCTACCTGCAATTTGACCTGCAAAGAGAGAGTGATACCATGTATGGACAGAAATCATCCCAAAAAAAAACAAAAAATAATAAAATGAACGGATGAATGACACTCTAAAAGATTACAGGAGAAAGAAAAAGGAAATATAAAATGCAAGAAGATGAAAACACCTCGCATCCAAGAGGCAAGAGAACTCTCCTCTCAGATAACAAACCCCTCGATAAAACCTTATCCAAGAGACGAGAACTCTCCTCTCAACCAGGGTCACTCTCACGTGTAAAAGTCAGTTATCACATCCCCTGCCCCTTCTGCCACCTCAATTATGCAACCGAATCTCTCCCTATCCTCCACTCTTGAAATATGATATTCGACCCACTAAAATGATGCCCATTAGTGTATCGCACAAGCAAAAACTTCAATGATATGAACAACGGACCAAACGATAAGTAAGTCATAAACATTTGAATTGTGTTTTATTCCACCAATCAAAATAGAAAAGAAATATCAAACAAATCCAACATTTTTAAAAAGATATTTAAACAGAAGAGAATAATTCTACGAAATGTAATGGAGGAACATACTCTGGAATTGGGTTCTTCAGTTTCGATGACATTTAAATCCGCGGGGAGCCGGTCTATTTCAGTGTCTGCAGCGACGGAAGAGGAGGAAGACGAAGAAGCTGAAACTGTAAGGCGACACAAGTTCTGACGATGTAAGGCGAGCTGGAAGAGTTGAATTTGGGGAGAGACAGATGGATGCTTCAAAGAATTGAAGGCCTTAGGCTTAGCCTGGAATGGGGAATTTTGCAAAGGAAAAGAAGTAAAAGAAAAGGAAGAGAGACGAGGCGGAAATGGGTTGGAATGGAGAATAGTTCGGAAGCTTATGCCGCAGAGCTCCATTGATGACGAGAAGCGCAGCGCGAAGGAGATTGAGAAACCGCCTGCGTCGCTCCGCAGTGGCAACCGAGTTTAGTGGATAAAGTAAAAGATTTTTTTCTTCTTTCTTTGTTTTTTTTTTTGGACCAACGTACTTTATCTACAAATCATTTGTATCAATTCCATCAACATCCATATAATAAAAATATAAAAAATAAAAATTAATAAAATTTTAAATATAATTCTCAAAAATAAATAAATTATATAATATTATTTTTTATATTTTTTATATTTTTCATAAATAGTTTAGATATTTTATTTAAAATAAAATATTACTATTAATTTAATTACTTATAAATTAGATCATTTTATCCTTTTAGAAGGTGATTAATAAATTGGACTGTAGGGAGTATTTGTTTAAAAAATTAGAATTCAAGTCAACTATGCTTAATTGTGAACCAACATCTACTCAAAAAGGAAAAAAAAAATTGAGAGATAAAGACCTCCAACCAATTTAGGAGCTGTTTGAAATTAGTTTTATTTTATTATTCTAAAAACTGGTATTTTATAAAATATGTTTTGAAAATAAAAAAATAATAAAAATATCTATTTTTCTCATTCTTCCTTATTCTTCAAAATAATAATCTCAAAACACCTAAAAATTATTTTTATTTTCTATTCTTCAGAGCAAGATTTTATTTTTTTTGTTTTCTAAAATATTTTTTGAAAATATGTTATTAAATAGATTTTTTTTATTCTCTTGTTTTGAAGAACAAAAAATTATTTTCATAATAAGTTACCAAACAGGGCCTTAATTTTGTAAAAGGACGAGGCTCCCTTTGTTTAAAATTATAAAATAATTTTTAAGGGATTGAATATTTGAAAACATAAGGCATTTTTAGTTTTTAATTTATAATTATTATCTTTTTCTAAAAGTCCTGTTATTAAATAAATTACTTTATATTTATTTTAGGGTGAAATACCTATTAAATAGAGATAAATATATAAAAATAAAGTTGATTTAAAAATAAATAATTACTTTATTATGATAAAATTTGGTTAAAAATGCTTTATATTTTTAACAAATGGAGTAAATATTAAAATTAATAAACAAAGTTTTTATTTTAACAAGCATACAATTTATCATAATTTTTATTAGATATTAAATTCTTTTAAAAATTATTATTTGATATTTTTTCAAACAAATTATATGAGGATTAATATGCCATAGTGTGACAAATGTTTGAATCTTTAATTTGTTAGAGATGCTCATATTTGGTATATAAACGTGCCTAGAACATTATTACTCCAAATAAAAAGAGACATATAACATTTTTATTTTAAATTACTGTTTTAATTCACTTTTCCAAAATTCAGAAAATAAAGATACAAAGAAATGAGGATATATAATGTACACGCACATATATGTTATCGTGGTAAGTTGTAAGATGTTTAGTCCAATGCAATTTTCTAAGAAATCATGCTAGAAAACAATTAAAATGATATAGCAACAATTATTCAAGTCATAAGTTTGGTAGCTTTTGTATGGGTGTGTCAAAAGAAGCATAACAATACTAGTATAAGAGCATATCAGTAGCGAGATTAACCAATAATAATGATGATGAAACTCTTCCTAGTCACTTCAGTACCGTAATAATTCATTAGTTACGGTATATAATACTTTGAAAGTCTTCCAATATAGAGTAATACTGGTAATAATTTGTTAGTTCGTTGATAAAGCTTACCGAACATTTCAATGCTACAATATCGATAGTGATTTTTAGTTTTGGTAGTCATGCAAGGCTCCGAGCAATAAACTTTAGTTCCAGTACTAAAAGGTTAGTTGGGGCGCCCAACCTTGTTTGCCAGATTACATCACACTCTATCATGGTCATAAGAGAAAAGATCGTTTTTATGTGATTGGCATGATAGAAAAGTTTAACCATGCATGTTGAAGATTAACCATAGTAGAGAAAAAATTAACAATTAACTAGAGTTACCAGACTATTATACTTATTAAGGAATTTTGCTTATCTTTTAAAATTAATGAAATGCATTATTATAATAGAAAAGATTCATGGTAGGAAAAAAATTAAAAATATCAATATTATATACTACTATAGTTGAAAAGGGTAAAAATATGATTTATTACTCAAAATACCCAAATTATAAGTATACCATGGTAGGAAAAAAATTTACTATGGTGATTACATAATAAAACCAATTTAATAAGCTTATATCACAGTGGAAAGAATAGGACTCATCCAATCAAATATGACTATGGTAAAGAAATTCCAACTGATCCTTTAGAATTTAATAAGATCAATCAAACGTAAATTTCCATAGAAACAAGAATTTATAAATCAAACTAGAGTATAAAATTTTCAAATCAAAGTATTCAAGCATAGGAAGCATAGAAAGTCAAAAAGAGTTGGAAAACTATTTTTCAATGGCCCATGAAAAATTGAGAATTTTAAGACTGAGCAATCCCACTGTATTTGAGGTGTGCTTGGCATGGAAGACCAAGCAAACCAAGAAGATCACCACTATATCCCATGCTGTGGCTAGGGGTGCCAAGCGTCACAACCTATGATAGAGAATAACTTTCCATATTTTTGTGTCATGCACTATAACAAAGGCATCATGCGCTGCAACAAATTGCATAGGGACTAAGAAACAAGTCTTTGTTGTCAAGACAACTCTCGGAAGCAACTTCTAATGAGCTATATTTCCATGTCCGACATCCGAATCAAGTAATCTAGGAGTTAATAGAAAACTTATTAAATAAACTAACCAATGACATAGGTTTCACAACCAAAATCGTTCATATTACAAATTTGGATGCCTAGAACCAAAACACATATGTTTTCATAAATTTCTACAACCAGGGTGTCCAAATTCCCAACCATATGCCTTTAGATCACCACAACCCCTAGACCATACTCAAACGGACCCTAGACAACCTATACAATTTGTAATATCTACCCTGACATTACTAAACAAACAAAACGGACCCTAGACAACCTATACAATTTGTAATATCTACCCTGACATTACTAAACACACAAAACACGAGACATCATACTGTTATGATAACCAGAATTAATTAAATTCCTTATATAAGCTTATCATAAGACAAGGGTTTAGAAAATTAGTTTAAAATATTGAAATTCCAAGAAACCCTTTTTGAAAAGACGTTTGAGCTTAAACTATAATTGAAAACAAATTAAACAAGGTAGCGAAAGCATAGAAAACAAAATACAACTCTTAAACACCTTAAATGGGGCATTCTAGAAATTCCCTAGAAATGCACCATCCACCACAGTGCAGGTATCACGTGCCATGGTAGATAGCATAAAGGGACCGTGTCTCTATTCTTGTATTGTGTGGTAGTGCATTCCTACTGTCAAGATAGCAAATAACTATCATGACATCACTCCAAGACTAACTTTCAAAGTACGCTGTTTCACCATCTGACGTCTAATTTGAGCAATTCAAGTGTCTACATGTAGTTCTTTAAGTTACTAGCTATTGACACTAGTCTCATACCCATACTCTTTACCATTTAAAAGTTGGACACTCGGACATAAAATGGTCTATTTTCCTTTCAAAACAACCACAAGGATGGCCAAACCCACATACCTAGTGCCAATAACCTTAGAACTAATTGAAGCAACTCAAATGGACTATAAACAATCTAACAGATCAATTATACAACAATCAAAACAATCCAAACACAAATTTACCACCAAAACCCCAATGCCACAATGAATTCAAAGGAATGATAATAATTCACATTAAACATCATTTTGGCCATTTCAACACATAAACAGCACAAAAACATCATTTACACTAATATCAATCTCTCCCGACAATTTCAACATTGGTATGTCCTTCTAGGTCGAGATACATACCGTTACACAATATTTCTCATGCAAGTGATTACAAAACAGCACACAACCCTAAGTTAGCATAATCAATATAAATTCATTACATTGCCAAAAAGAAAGAGAAGAGCTATACAAATTGAAGCTTTAAGGACTCGGTAGGCCCTTCCTTTCCTTTACCACTATCAAAGCCTTTACATGTAAAATATAATCACGAGGTGAGCTGAGAACTCAGTAGCCAATTAATCTAAACAAACGACTCATGTGTGAGAATATTTAGTGAGTATGTGAAGTGACATTTAAAACATATACTCTATGTATATGTCGAGTTACATACGCACACATGGCTATACAATAGAGATATATATGATCAACATACTACCTTATATCCTTATTTTCTCTTACTAAATTTGTAGGAAGAAAATTTGATAGAACCAAATTCATGTGATTGAATTGACTCAAGCTCACTAATTGTAACGTAATAGGTTTTCAACTTGGAATGCTGAGTGTTTGAGAAGAGTAATTTTGTCAAAATATGTGATTTATAAATTAACGATATTTTTAGGACACTAATAAAATTATTTGACCTTTGAATAGCCTTAGAAATGAGCTAAGATAATGCATAGGTCAACCGGGCTCAAAAGGGTAGCTAAAATGACATGTGGTACTTGCTGTGACATGTGCCATAACGCACCGCCATTTTCTAGCTTAAATCATATGTGAAAACACATCTATTTCAAAAGAAGAAAAGAGAGAAATGAGAGATAGGTGCTGGAGAAGGCTTTAGGTCTGTTAGGGTATGATCTTGGGGGCACATTAAAGGCAATACAAGCTTTAATCATTATTAGGTAGGATCCATTTCCCATTTACTTTCCCCATTATGTGAATTTTTATTACTTTTGGGTAATGTAGCTTTGATTTTGATTTTCTTAGATTTAGATTGAATCCATTAGCTTAGTAAAGGTCTTGGGGAGTTAGATCAAACTTCTAAACCTAAGTTGATGATTTTTGCATTAATTTAAAATTTTTAATTAGGGTTTAGACGAACCTTAAGTGAAAATTAGGAGTTTTGGAACAATGTGGGTAAATGGTTGGCGATATTAGTGTGTTTGGATGTTAGATGAAATTAATGGAGTATGTTGGAATAGTTGATGTTGATAAAATGACATTTTTAGATCTAATGGATACCCAAAATTTAGTGATTTTG